CCTTCCCTCTCCGCTACTTCACCCCTCTTTCTCTTCTTCTCCTTCTTCTCCTTCCTTCATTTTTCTCTTTCTCCCTCGTTTTTTCTTCCTACCTGCCTCTTATATTCTCCTTCCCCATTTTCCTCATCCTCCCTCCTTCATTTCTCTCCTTCTTCCCCGTTTTACCCTCTTACCTACGTCTTTTCTTCTTCCTCATTTTCCTCATCCTCCTCTCTTACTTTCCCTTCTTTTCGTCCTTCCTCATTTCCTTCATCCTGATCCCTCCCTCATTTTCACTAGTCCTCCTATTCCTATTTCTTTTTTTCTCTCCCTTCTTCAACCTTTACCATGTTTTTGCAATAATGATAACATTTGATAATACAAATTATGATGCTATTAATGGTAATAGTACTAATGATGATAATGATGATGATGATAATGATGATGATGATGGTGATGATGATGATGAGGATGATGATGATGATGATGATGGTGATGATAATAATAATCATGATAATGATAATGTTGATAATAGGAATGGTAATATATATTATGATAATAGTAGAAATGATGATAATGATAGTAACAACAACAATAACAAGTATATTAATGATGATAAAAGGAAGTAATAAAAATAACAATAATGATAATGATTATAAACAATATGATAAATAATAATAAGGATGATTATAATGATACAAAAATAATAATAAATAAATAATGATAATATTAACAATAATGATAGTGATAATAATGATATAATAATAATAATAATAATGATAATATGTAGTGAGGATAATAATGATGACGGTATAATGATAATGACAATAGTAACTATAACTACAGAATAAACTCTGATGACATGATGCAATCATGATGCTAACCTAAAAAGAAAAAGAAAAATAAAACAAAAAATCCCATCACTTTAAATTTTTCTCTATTTTTATCATTTTCGATTTTCCTCTTTTTTTTTTTTACTTTCCTTTTTTTCTTTTCTTCACTGCTAGAAAGCGCAAGAATCTCATATCCAATCGGTTCCGGGCGGTGGACAAGGAGCTCACCACCCCCACCCC